AAGGTCTGACTTCCTCTTGAATCTGAATTCCACCCCATCTTCAGGCAGCGAGTTCCACAATCTCACTTCTCTCTGAGGGGGAAGTAATTCCTCCTGAAGTCTCTTTTAGATCCCAAGTCTCTATGTTATATTGTGTCCCCAGTTACAGACTCCGCAACCAGTGGGAACAGCCTTTTAATGTTACCCTATTAGATGAGGTTAACCCTTTAAATGCCTCTTCTGCAGCCCAATATAATAATAATAATAATCCTTGCATTTGATATAGTGCTTTTCACGTCGGGAGGACGTCCCAAAGCGCTTCACCGAACACACTGTAAAGTGAATTGACTGTATATTTGTGGGCGAAGGCGGCAGCCAATTGCGCACAGCAATGTCCCACAAACAGTCGTAGATTGAAAATGACCAATGTATTATTGTTTTTGGTTTTGGAGGATTATTATTAGGCTCTGTGTGGAGTAAGGAAACTTGCCCAAGGTTTCACCCTCTGCCTGGAATTGAACTCAGGTCTCTCGCTTCCAAAGCGAGTGCTCTAAACACTGAGCTACAGGACTCCATGATATATGGGGGCTGTGTCCCAGAGCGCTTGATAATGTCAGTGTTTTTTTTTGCCCAACCGGGCATCTGACACACACGGAAACCCGTCACCGTGACCAGCCGGGTGTCTGACACCCACGGAAACCCATCACCGTGACCGGCCGGGTGTCTGACACCCACGGAAACCCGTCACCGTGACCAGCCGGGTGTCTCACACCCACGGAAACCCGTCACCTGCTCAACAGTTTCCAAACCCAACTGAGAATTCCCCCCATTCCCCCACACATGGAAATCCCAGAGAGAGATTGTTGGAATGGAATGAGCTCTCTCTCTCTCTCTCTCTCCCTGATTACTTAATTCCAGAGAGTATTATGCACAGGTTGCCAAGAGACAACGCTTGGGGGGAGCAGAGTGTGTGTTGGGGTAACTGCTGGATTCTAAACATCCTGCTGTCGATTAGAGTGATTAATATTGAACTGAAAATTGTACATTACGAGGGAGATAGAACCTGGATTCATCTCGGGACAGACACTAGGAAGTATTTATGCAGCCAGCGGGTAATTAACAAATGGGAGAGGATAGCCAGGGAGGGTGGTTGAGGCCAGAAGACTGGGACTCATTTTAAAAGATGGCTTGAGGCAGTGAATGGGGGAATGGTCCGGTGGGTGTTGGGGAGGGTTGAGTTGGGATGGGCCAAAGGGTCCTCATCCAGCCCAACCTTGTGATTGTGTGTGGGAGCTGCCCCTACCCTGTGGGGGAGTGTGAGGGAACAGGCAATGGTGGTTCTCTGAAGAGAAAGAGCAGAGACATGTTGGAGGCAGCTCTGTGACCTGTGACCTGCTGTAGTTTTTGAGTTGGAAGTTACTTACATTGATCCAGGCTGCGTGCAGGGCGGGAAGGCTGGCGGGTACCGGCTATCACAGCGAGTTACTGGGGCTTGTAGCTTTGGTGTTACTGCTGTACCCACTGCCTTTAGGTACAGTAAAAATCTCCCCAGTGTCTCAGGACAAGACACACTATCAACAACAACAATTTTATATCACCTTTCACGTCTCTGAGACCTCTGCTCAGGTGGACGTTAAAAATAATAATAATCATAATACTTGCATTTGATAAAGGACCTTATCACGTCATCAAGACATCTCAAAGTGCTTCACAAGATATACTGTAATGTGTAGTGACTGTGGATTTGTAGGTGAACATGGCAGCCAATTGCACACAGCAGTGTCCCCACAAACAGCCGTGGGGCGAGTGGCCAATATTATTTGGGGGATTGTTGTCCAGGACACCGGAAGAGAGAGAGAAACTCCCTTCTCTTTTCCAATAGCCCCGCGGGATCTTTACCATCCACCTGAACAGGCAGACGGGACCTCGATTTAACGTCTCCTCCCGAGGACGGCACCTCCCACAGTGCCCCCCCCCCACCCCCAGCGCTGTATTGGAGCATCAGCTTAGACTGTGATTCCAAGTCCTCACGTGGGGCTTGAACCCACAACCTCCTGACTGAGAGAGAGAGAGAGAGAGGGGGAGAGAGAGAGAGAGTGCTACCACTGAGCCGGGCTGACGCATTAACATGGTTCTATTCAGAAAGAGAACGGAGTTTCTCCTGATGTCCTGACCAACAATCCTCCAGATAAAATTGGATGTTCATCTTGTGTTTGTGAGGGCATTGCTGTTTGTTCTCAAATACAGTCACTACACGATACAGTAATTCCTGTGAGGTGGCTGAAGGTGTTGGAGGATAATTCCTGGAGGATTTTATTTTTGCTTTCAATATTGTTGAATAATAATAATGCTTGCATTTGATGTACCGCCTTATCACATTGTTGAGAAGTCTCAAAGCGCTTCACAGAATATGCTGTAAAGTGAATTGACTGTATATTTTGTAGGTGAAACACGGCAGCCAATTGCTCACAGCAACGTCCCACAAACAGCCGTGCATTGAGTGACCAGATTATTATTATTTTTTAAAAAAATTTGCAGGGATTATTTCCTCCAGAAAAGCGATGCCAAACGATTAACAACCAGATGATTACTTACTGCTGGGTAAATAGAGGTGTGTGGAGTAAGGAAACTTGCTCAAGGTTTAGCCTCATCTGGGAATCAAATCTGGGTCTTCTCGCTTGCGAGGCAAGTGCTGGAATCACTGAGCTACGAGACTCCATACCAATCACCGGGACACCCTTCAGTCTAATGTTGGGTTTCCACATCTAACAGACACTCCGTTGTCGAAAAAAGAATCACATTGAAAATAATTTGAAAGAATCCTTAAAGAATTCTGAATAAGATTGCGTGTGACTCCTGTTCTGGTCATTTCCGAATACAAAAACGACCTCCTGAGAAATGAGGATGAAAGAAAGTCACTGTTTTATTGTGTCTGAATTAAAGATGAAAGCACCACCAAGCTGATGGCCAGTCTGATCTATCAGTCTGACACTGACAATGGGTGATGGTGATAGCGAGTGCTCAGGTGCTGGAAAGCTCTGGCTATAATTAGCCTATTTATATTCACCGCCCACACCATGCGAGCGGGAGACAGACCTCCTATCTTCGCCAACCACCACCATCAAGATGGTAAACGCTGGAAGCTATTACTTGTGACACTTGACAGTTCATTTCAGGTTGATTAATGTGCTGTGGGGTAGGGAGACATATACATGTGGTGCACAGGCAATGTAATCTGGGACGGGTTGTGACCATCTGGATCAGCTGCGTTAGTGTCACCCTGTGAGCTCCTGTGGACACCACTGACCCAAAGCTGGGACCGTGGTTGGAGTCCAGTAGCTCAGTGATTAGAGCTCTCACCTCACAAGTCTGAGACCTTGGTTCAATTCCCGGGCAGGACGAAATGTTAGGCAAGTTTCCATACTCCACACTCTGTTTACCAGCAGTAAGTAGGAACCTGGTTGTTAGTCGATTAGCAGATCACTTTTCCAGGGATAATAATCCCTTCAAAACGAATAAAAATAATGTGGTCACTCAACCCACGGCTGTTTGTGGGACGCTGCTGTGAGCAATTGGCTGCTGCGTTTCACCCACAAAATATACAGTCAATTCACTTTACAGTGCATTCTGTGAAGCGCTTTGCGACGTCTCGAAGACCTGATAAGGCGCTGTAACAAATGAAAGGATTATTATTATTGCTGTTGTTAATACAGAGGCACTAGAAATATGCCCCATTTGACCGGCCTGATTGCACAGTGCTGGAGGCATGTTTCTGAAGGTTGTTGCTGTCTGGGTGTGGTTGGCCATTTCACTGCCCACATGGATGATCTTTCACAATATATCAGGCTCCAAAACCATTATTCAGCCCTGTCAGCAGTTCAGTCATCAGCAGTTTGCTCTGTCACTAATATAATCCTTGCTTTTGATTTAGTGCCTTTTCACGTTGTTGAGACATCTCAAAGCGCTTCACAGAATGTACCGTGAAGTGCAGTGACTGTATATTTTGAGGCCAAACACGGCAGCCAATTGTACACAGCAGTGTCCCACAAACAGTTGTGGATTGAATGACCACATTTTGTTTGCTTTTTGGAGGGATTATTATCCCTGGAAACCGATCCACCAATTGACCAACAACTGGGTTCCTACTTACTGTTAAGTAAACAGAGGCGTGTGGTAAGGTGCTACATCAAATACAAGGATTATTATTATTAAATCTTAATAAGAAAAGTTGTATTTTCATATAGCGCCTTATCATGTTGTTGAGATGTTTCAAAGCACTTGATAGGATATACTGTAAACTGTAGTGACTGAGTATTTTGTGTGTGAAACCCGGCAGCCAATTACGCACAGCAGTGTCCCCACACACAGCCGTGGGGCGAGTGGGCAATATTATTTTGGGGATTGTTGTCCAGGACACCGGGAGAGAGAGAGAAACTCCCTTCTCTTTTCCAATAGCCCCGCGGATCTTTACTATCCACCTGAACAGGCAGACGGGACCTCGGGTTAACGTCTCCCCCTGAGGACGGCACCTCCCACAGTGCAACCCCCCGCGCCCCCCCCAACGCTGTATGGGAGCATCAGCTTAGACTGTGTGATTCCAAGTCCTGACGTGGGGCTTGAACCCACAACCTCCTGAGTGAGAGAGAGAGAGAGAGGGGGGGAGAGAGAGAGGGGGGAGAGAGAGAGGGGGGGAGAGAGAGAGGGGGGAGAGAGAGAAGGGGGAGAGGAGAGAGAGAGAAGGGGGGGGGAGGAGAGAGAGTGAGAGTATTGGAGCATCAGCTTAGACTGTGATCCCAAGTCCTGACGTGGGGCTTGAACCCACACAACCTCCTGAGTGAGAGAGAGGGGGGGGGAGAGAGAGAGAGGGGGGTGGAGATAGAGTGGGGGGGAGGTGAGAGTGAGAGTATTGGAGCATCAGCTTAGACTATGTGATCCCAGCCCTGATGTGGGGGTTGAACCTGGTACGAGGTTTTTTTTCTATTCAATAATAACATTGATTTTTCTCCCTTGTTGTTTTGCAGATAGTCCTGGTTGCAGCGGGTGTACAGAACCAGAGGTAAGCATACTGCAAAGCTCATTAGATATTAATTTTTTATATATTATAATAGTTATCGTTATACAGGAAACCTCACATAAGTCACATCAGTTGGACCATACATTTAATATGACTTCTACAAAGTATGAAATATGTCAAACTGGTGTAGAATATAAACTGTTGAACAGGACCTGAGCAGATATACGACTTACGCGATGATACGATTTATACAGATCAGACTCAGGCATATTATGTTATTATAACAACAACTTGCACATTATAGCGCCCTCCACACAGGGCAGCATCTCAGAGCGCTTAACAGTGGCAGAGCCTGACTCCGAGCCGCGGGGAGGGGGGAGGTGCCGTAATCACGGTCGATCAGGAAAGTTTTCAGACAGGACTTGAAAGAGGGGAGAGAGGGGACAAGACGGAGGGATTGAGGGAGAATGTTCTGGAGTTTTGGGGCGTAGTGGCTGAAAGCACAACCTCCAATGGTGGGGCAGAGGGTGCGAAGGACAAACAGGAGACGGTGCCAGTCAAACAGAGGCACCGGGTGGTGGATTGGGGTGTGAGGGAGTCAGAGAGGTGGGGAGGGAGGGGGTCGGAGAGGTGAGGAGGGAGGGGGTCGGAGAGGTGGGGAGGGAGGGGGTCGGAGAGTTGGGGAGGGAGGGGGTCGGAGAGGTGGGGAGTGAGGGGGTCGGAGAGGTGGGGAGGTGCCAGGGAGTGAAGGGATTTGAACACGAGAGTGAGAGCATCTTGAAGTGGATGTGTTGGGTGATGGGGAGCCAGTGGAGCCTGGGCCAGAGCGGGTGAGATGTGGGGATGGAGTTTGGTTCAGGTCAGTGTGTGGGCGGCAGAGTCTGAATGAGCTGATCTTGTGAATAGTGGAGCTGAGGAGACGGCGAGGAGGGGGTTGGAGTATTCCATGGGGAGGTGACAAACACATGCACAAGGGTTTCGGCTGCAGTTGGGTCAATGGTGTTGAATACAGCAGAGAGGTCAAGGAGGACAGGAGGCAGAGGAGCCCTGCTTTCAGATGGCTGCATAATATTACTATTTTAATATAATAGTACAATATCCCCTCCACTCTCGATTCCCTCGCTCCCCTCTCTTCCCGAACTATCTCCTACTCACGCAAATCACCTTGGTACACCAGCCACCTCCACTTCCTTAAAGCCCAGGTGTGTGCCACTGAGCGGACCGGGCTTAAATCAACCCTGACTGCCCACCGGCAGATCTGGCTGGACCATGTCAAATCCTACCACTCCGCCCTCGCCTCCACTAAATCGTTGTTCTACTCCAAGACAATCTTGGAGGCCAAGGACAACCCCAGGCTCCTCTCCATCACCAACCGACTCCTCTGCCCACCCTCTCACGCCTCACCCATCCTCACCTCAAATGCCAACTGCGAGGCGATGCTGGACTTCCTCGAATCCAAAGTCGAGGGAATCCGCTCAGCTGCCTCTGCCACTACATCTTCTACCCCCTCCCCATCTCCCCCTCCCACCCCGGCCCCTACCCATCCCTCCCTCCACACCTTCGAACCCGTCTCCCCCTCCTCTCTCATCATCACCATATCCTTCATGAAACCCACCACCTGCTCCCTCAACCACATCCCTACCCCTCCTTATGTTCTTATGTTCTTACCTCCCAGCTCCACCTCCTTGCTTCTCTACTCACTGACATCATAAACCTCTCCCTGTCCTCTGGTACTGTTCCCACCCCATTAAAAAAGGCCGTCATCATTCCTTAAAAACCCTCCCTGGACCCATCTGTGCACTCTAACTACCGCCCCATCTCCAACCTCCCTTTCCTCTCCAAGGTCCTGGAATGAGTTCTTGCTTCCCAGCTTCCCTCCTTCCTCTCCGGCCACTCCCTTCTCGAACCCCTCCAATCGGATTTTCGTGCCGCCCACAGCACAGACACCGCCCTGGTCAAAGTGACGAAGACATTCTGTCCATCTGTGACCAGGGCTCCCTCTGCCTCCTCATCCTCCTTGATCTCTCTGCTGCTTTCGACACTTTATCCTCATCCACCGCCTTTCCTCTCACCTCAACCTTCATGGTTCTGTCCTTGACTGGCTCAGATCGTACCTCTCACACTGCCTGCACTTCATCTCCACAAACGGTTTCTCCCCTAGTCCCCCCATTGTCTCGTGTGGCGTTCCTCAGGGCTCTGTCCTTGGTCCCCTCCTCTTCAATATCTATATGCTCCCCCTTGGTGACATCATCCGCAGACATGGGTTAACTTCCACATGTACGTGGCTGACACCCAACTCTCTCTCTCTGTCTCCACCCTTCACTCCAGGACCCACTGCTGTCCTGACACAATGTCTGTCAGACATCAGGTCCTGGATGAGAGCGAACTTTCTATAGTTGAACGTCAATTGGCTCCCGTCAGCGTCTCCTCACCTCAGGCACTGACAGCATCACCATCCATGGGGCTCACTCCCCCTCACTGAGCCAGTCCCGAACCTTGGGGTCTTGTTCGACCCTCAACTATCCTTTCTACCCCACATCTGCGCCATGACCCGTTCTGCCTTCCCCCATCTCCGCAACATCGCCCGACTCCGCCACTGTCTCACACCGCAGCCCCTGAGACCCTTATACACGCCTTCATTACATCGAGGCTCGACTATGCAAACTCACTGCTTGTCGGCCCCCAACTCCTCCCTCCATAGGCGGCAGATCATCCAGAACTCTGCAGCCCGTGTCCTCTCCCACACCGGCTCCGTGACCCTATCACCCCCATCCTCACCCGACTCCACTGGCTTCCCATCACACAGAGGGTACAGTTCAAGATCCTGGTCTTGCTCCCCCCCAACCTCTGCGACCTCCTAACCCCCTACCACCCCGCTCGCTCCCTCTGCTCAGCGGGCTCCGGCCTGCTTCACGTCCTCCGCCTCGCTTGGCCCACTATTGGTGGGTCGGCCTTCAGCCACTCTGCTCCCACTCTCTGGAACTCCATCCTGCAGTCCCTCCGCCTCGCCCCCTCCCTCGTCACCTTCAAGACCCACCTCAAGACCCTCCTGTTCGATGGTGCTTTTGATCTCCCAGCTTCTCCTCTCTGCCCTCCACCATCCCTGACCCCAACTCCCATCTCAGGTCCATAACTATCTGTCCAGTGCCTTGGGACGTCCTCCTGACGTGAAAGGCGCTTTACACATGGAATTTTGTTGTTGTATTATTATGTTATATTATTATACGATATGGGTGTCAGGGTGCATTCGTAGACCCATAGCAATGTACAGCACAGAAGGAGGCCAGAGTCTGTGTCTGTGTCGACTTTTTTAGGAGTTGTCCTTCCAGTCCATTTACCATCTATTTCCCGGTGGATTGTCTCTTCTCTTCAGTCAAGTTCCTCATGCAATCCCTTAGCATTTGGGAGCAGCCAGAGTTTGTCAACTTCTCCTAAACGAGCTCTCGTTTTTCAAGCTGCTTTTCTTTCTGTACTTTTAATAACTGCAGGAAAACAGGTTTCAAAGTTAAGACTTGAGTTCAGCCCATTTACCACATCGTGAGCCGAGCCTTCGGTAGACGACAAATATTATTTTCTACCAATTGAAGATATTATAATCCTTCACGTAGGATAATGTCTCAGAGCGCTGGACAGGGAATGAGGTTGAAGCGAGTGTGTGAGGGGGGGAGAGGATGATAAGGGTGGCCAAAGAGGTGGGATTTGAAGCTGGACGTAAAGGCAGAAAAAGGGGGGTCAGATGGAGTTGGCGAGTGAGGGAGTTCTGAACTCATCTTTCCTATTACATTAATCTATTGGGAAATATCTGGAGTGTCCTTATATAGCTCCTTATCACGTTGTTGAGACGCCTCAAAGCGCTTCACTGGAGATACTATAAAGTGTAGTGACTGTATTCTATAGGTTTCCACACTGCCCTCCGCACTCTTTAAAAAGGGACGCCTTGGGACGTCCTCCTGATGTGAAAGGCGCTGTACAAATGTAATGTTGTTGTATATTTTGTGGATGAAGCTGATTAGACACAGCAGTGTCCCACAAACAGTCGTGGATTGTGACCAAATTTATTGTTATTTTAATATTAAAAATGTAAGAGCAGGAAATGCACGTTCCATCGGAGAGGAGGGAAGGAGATTGATGTGTGTGTTTACATGGACATAGAATTCCACACTCCCCCGTTCCAATAACCTCTCAATTATAAATCTCTGCCCCGAGCATTTCACATGGCAACATCGCTCGTGGTCAAAGATCAACCGCAGGCAGCCAACTGTGTTGCTCTCAGTCAAAGCGGCCTTTTTTCAGTAATTAATGCCACCAGTTGAACATCTCAGGGAAATTGAAAATCGTTCCTTTTTAAAGCATGTGGAAGGCAGTGTGGAAACCTATAGAATAACAATAATAATCCTTGTTTGTGATATAGCACCTTATCACGTCGTGGGGACATTATATAAAGCGCTTCACACAATATACTGTAAAGTGGAGTGACTGTGTGTTGTGGGTGAAACACGGCAGCCAATTTGCGCACAGAATGTCCCACAAACAGTCGTGGATTGAGTGACCACATTTTTCATTTTTTGAGGAATTATTATCCCCGGAAAGTGATCCGCCAATCGACTGACAACCGGGATCCTACTCACTGGGAGATTGAAAGCATGGTCGAAGAGAGGGTCTTGAGGTGGGTCTGAAGGTGGCGAGGGAGTGGGGCGAGACAGAGGGATTGCGGGATGGAGTTCCAGAGGGTGGGGGCAGAGTGGCCGAGAGGTTTTGTCATAAACAGATGGTCAGCAAAACCTATTTGTTTCTCAAGGCACTTGGGAATGGGGTTAATAACAGGCGCAGTATCTCAGTGACTGGGCAGGTGGCTGCTGTTAATTATCCAGTCCCTGTGAATCCAACAACACTTCAGATACCTTTCTGATTCAGAGCCAACAAAGCTCGCGTTTCCTTTAGCTTCTTTTCCTCACTCTTCCCTTTCGCATTTTATCTGAAATAATAATAATAATCCTTGTATTTGAAACAGCGCCTTATGTTGTTGAGACGTCTCCAAGCAA